TGGCAAAAACCGTGCCGGAGGTAGTCTAAAATATCTGTTCACTTGTTTAAAAAATCGCAAATTTAAACAGCGATGCCATACTGTATATATATATATATATTTATATATTATGATATTATATATCGAAAGCCAGCCGATAGGCAAGGCTTGAGGTTGATGGCACGAATGAGGTTAGTAAAGGGGGTGTGGGGGGGGTGGTTGCCAGATGGACACGTTTGGAGAGGCTGACCCAGAGCCTGGTGGGGAGAGCGAAAAAAAGATGTTGCCAGGAGGTAGTGAAAATGAGTGTTTTTTTGGGGGGGGGTGTTGTGATGCAAGTGATGTGATAGACGCCGAGCTGTGCATCATTAGCATCACGAGGGGCTCAAGAGGCCATGTAAACTGTCATTACTGGGGGTGGGAGTTCGCGTCGATGAGAGGAAAGGGGAGACAAGGGGACGTGAAAAGTGGTTGGAACTCATCCCATACTTGAGAGCAGGAAAGAGAACAGATTGCAGTCGTGGGCTAGCTTAGCGCTGCTTGGGGGCGCGCTTTTTTAGTTCCCAGACTGAAGAGGGCACCCCCTATGCGGCGGGAGTTCACGTGGATGAGGCAGGCACAGCGCCGCCGGAAGGTCTTGAGTTGCTTGGGGGGCTGTTGAGGGCAGGAGAGAGGACAGATTGCAGCGGGGCAAGCGTTGGGGTGCCCTTTTTTACCCGTGGAAAGGTCCAGTTGTCGGATTCATCTGTTGAGGGCAGGAGAGGGCGTTGGAGGCGGAAGGTTTTGCTTGCGTTGCTTCGGGGTGCCTGTGTGTATCCTTGGAAAGGTTTAAGTATCCGACTCAAAAGTACTTCCCATATGGGGTGCACGATGCCATCTGTTCAGGGCATGCGAGAGAACAGATTGCAAGCGTTGGAGGCAGAAGGTTTTGAGTTGCTTCAGGGTGCCCTTTGTTATCCGTGGGAAGGTCTAGTTGTCGGACCCAAAAGGGCACCGCAGATGATGTGCGTGATGCCATCTGTTGCGGGCGCGCAACAGAACAGATTGCAGTGGGCAAGCGTTGAAGGGGGGCGCCCCTTTTGACAATCAAGAGGGCTGGTTGCTGGACTCCAAAGGGCGCCCCAATTTGGGGTGGGAGTGTCTGCGAGTGAGACAGGTCCGGAGGACCTCCCCTTCGCCCCCTCCCCTTCCATGTAAAGTGTCTTTTCTAGGGGCGGGGTTCACGTAGATGAGAGGAAAGGGGAGACAAGGGGACGTGAGAAGTTGAACTTATCCATAAAGAGTCGCGAGCAAGCTTAGCGTTGCTTGGGGGGGCACTCCCTACGCGTGGGAGTTCACGTGGATGAGGCAAGCACAGCGGAGGCGGAAGGTTTTGAGTTGCTTGGGGGGGCTGCGTTGGAGGCGGAAGGTTTTGAGTTGATTGGGGGTAGGCGTGGAAAGGCCTAGTTGCCGGACTCAAAAGACCACCCCATATGGGGTGCATGATGCGATCTGTTGAGGGCACGCGAGAGAACAGACTGCTGTGGGTAAGCGTTGAAATGCTAGGGTTGCCGGACTCAAAAGGGGCGCGTGATGCCATCTGTTGAGGGCAGGAGAGAGAGAGAACAGATTGCAGTGGGCAAGCGTTGGAGGCGGAAGG